AGCATCCCCCATGATCCTTCAACTATCTCAAACTAACAAATTTGGGGACAATGAGCGCATTTCAAACCGAATTATTGAAGAATGATATTTAAATATAAATGATTTTTATGGAACGGCAATTGAATACTGGTCCAAACTAAAGGAATGTCTCCGAAAGTCACTTCTACGCTAGGACATATTAGTAGGAAGTGTGCTAGTTACGTACCGGAAACAATTGTCCAATTTTCAGCTGCCAAAGCACGAATGTCAGGAGATCCTGACTATCAGCTGCATCGAAGAATTACAACGACAGTAACACGGCGAGACAGAAATCACTATTGGAGTGGCATGGCCTTGAGAATGGAGATAGCAGCTCGATATAAGAATTGATATTAGTCAAGGCTATATCCTTTTCACTACAATATTCAACCATGCGATAGACTGGATAATGGACACAGGTTGTCGGCACTCAATCCAGAGCATCATATTACAGATTTTAAATACGCTGATGATGTAGTCATTTTTGCTATGACAGTTATGAGTGCGAAATGCAAGTAATGCTTAATGACGTGTCAGAAACTGTAGGTCTCAGGGTCAATATTAATAAAACGAAAACCTTTTCGTCTAATATACAAGCCTATTTTTATAAATTTATTGCATGATTTTAAATATCTAGAATCCATTCTAATACCGAATGCCAGGCAAAAAAGAAATTATAACCCGGATTATGGTAGCGAAAACTAAAGCAATACATTCTTTCGATTGACGAAAACTCTATGGAACCGTCGTGAAATATGTAGCTGTGATTCGTTCCCTACTGGCGGCTATATGGGCCATTGTCGAAATTTTATTTCCTTTAATTGGAAGGCTATGGCAAAATTTTTTGATGTTTGACTAATTTTTGAAATTTTTTTGATTTAAATCCATTGCTGGATCTTTATGAGTTTGTTTATTCGTCTTTTTTTTTTTTTTTAAACAATGAAGATAAGATAACGACGAAAGCGTGCCATATAAGGGCAGATTTCCCGAATGAATTTTATCTTCCACCATTTTTTAAATGTAAAAAAACATATTGATCAAAATTTTATTATTATCAGTTTTAACATTTTTCGAATAAATTTTCAAATAAAAATTTATGATAATAAGATCAAATTAAAGTAATTTATTGTATTTTAACATTGCAAGTGGAAATAAAGTGATCTTCATGTGGAATTCTCCGCTAAAAGGTAAGACTGACAGCTGAAAAGCGATAACGAAAGCAATAAAGAACTTTTTCCTATGTATGTCCACAACTTCGCAACTTATCAAACAAACTACGATAATTCAGCAAACGATTATCATTTTAGTACTATCAAAAAACTGGATTAATTTCATTCTTTGTTATCCTCTCTCATTCGTGGTTTATTTGTCTCATCTTTCAATAATGATAAGCAATTCATTTAATGATAATGGCCCATAAGAAGATTAATTTTCGACTATTTATAGATTCCACGAAAATTTCCAAGATTTTTTGCAAAATTTGCGCTTGGCTACCGAAACCTTATCAGCATAATGTAAACAATATTTCACTGAAATCAGCAATTGTAAGAAATTCAATGCGAGTTTAAAACAAATTTATACATAAAAAAAATGAACCAATTTTTTTCAATAGTTAACATTCATCTTTAATCTTTTATGGAGTATTACTCATAATCAGTCATAGTTAGGCACTGATTTTCATCATCCTTGAAAAATCGTCGCATTTTGACAAAATTCTGAAAAATTCATATATATATATATTGATGATTTCTGAGCGGTTAGGGTTTATAATTTTTAGTTCGATTAACACCACTGGAGGTTTTTGCCAGAGTTATTTGGCGAAATAGATTCACTCGTACGTCTCCAAGCCTTAATACACGATACACCTATATCTGAACAATAACCATTCAGTTATATTGCTTCCAATTTTTGATTAACATTAGTGTTAAGATTAAGGCACAAAGCGGACACAATTCAGATAAAATTTATGTATATTTATTCTTTACCTTTCGTTTAATGTAGAATTTTTTGATAGTAGAATATTATTCAAGAGTTACGCAAAATTAGTTAATAATTTAAAAAATAATTTAAAATTTAAATTTTAAATTTTAAATTTTAAATTTAAATAATTTAAATTTAATAATTTAAAAAATACCTTTGGTGTTGTAGTGAACCTAAGCAATCTGCCTGCGGGCAAAATTATTAAGTCGCCATATTCACAGAGTACTCGCAGCCAAGCTCCACTATCATCTTCAATATCATAATAAGCTGATCCATCGATAATCATGCGTGCTTGTTCACAACTTAATTTTGATTCTTCAAAAAGTTCTTCAATCTATAATGGTTCAATTAATTATTCTATTTCGGATGGTCCATTTTTTAATAAAATATGCTTGTTTTTTTCACCATTTAAGAAAAGCTCGAAACTAATTTTTAGGGCAAAAAGTGAAAATAACGAATTGCACGTTGTATAAACAGTTTTTATGAAAAAAATTGAAAGAAACGAAATTAATGATAATAAAATAAAATTTAATATCGAGTTTTTTAAAAAATTTCAAAGTTCAGAACCTTTCCACTAAAATCTACTGTATTCTCCGCGTCAAGTACGTAAATGTCTTCTTTTGTTAAGTTCCTTTCCATTTTGAGTATGGCAATTCGCTTCGACATACCAACGCGATCCATTGTATCAATCTGGATTTATTTTTATGCTTAATCTCAGGATTTAGCCACAAATGTTTTTAGGTTTGATAATTTTTCAAGTATGATAAGGAGAATAGATAAATATTATTATCAAAGTACCAATGCAAGAAAATGCATGGATTATCTCCGATATATCTATTGTAGCTAGATAAAACTTATAAAAAATTGTTGCAGAAAGCGCTAAATATCATAAAAAATAAGCATCTCAAATCTTTTTTTACAATAAGCATTTTTGTTTGGCAGTATTAACCAAAATTTTTAATAATCCTTAATCTTTAATAACCCTTAAATTAGTGATAAACATTGAATCAGAACGAATCCATTTGGTTATCCTACCGCCATACTATTATAAGCTTATAGGCTCATACAAATAATTATAAGCTTATAAAAATAAAACATTTATTTTCAACAAAACCTTGAAGTATAACGCGCCAGTCCTTCTTGTCAGTTCATCTGGAGTAATATTTTTTGGTGGAAATAGATGATGAGGCAATCGAGGATCACCACATGGATGCGGCTCAGTTAGCCAAATTTGCACCATTTTATTCTACTTGTCCTGTAAATTATCGTTTGATTATTCTATTTTGTCTATGATAGATAAATTTTAGTATAGTGAAGGAAGTGGGATAGCAAAAGCACTGCTCAAAATCCTTCCGATTATTACAGCATATAATTTGGAAATTTTTGAAGAAATTTTTGATAACACTTATAAAATCATAGTAAATTTATGGAATAGGATATTTTATAATATTCTTCTAACAGCTCTCAGTATTACTAGTTAGATTGGCTTTGATGGTTATAAGGATAAGATGTTTGCAAATTGCGCGATTTGATTATCATCGTCAACATTAATAGCCACTCATTTTTTTATCGTCTAAGTCCATAGATCCATCTACAAGTTCAAAATCTTTTCAGACTAGCTCACTCACGTTTGATCAGCTCACGTTTTGATTAACTCGCCCCTCTTTTGACGTCATCCATCACAAGTATTAGTAACTAACGAAAACCTCTTCTTATGGTACTATTAATGTAAATGATATATGAGCAGGTGGATGCAAACAGGGAATTTTATGTGAAATTTTATGCGAAGATTTATATAATATATACTAGATATGACTGGATAATAAAGAAGATAATATCGTCCATTCTCATTGGTTTTTCCCATCTCTCGCAGCCACCTAACATATACTATACAGACCGAGAGAGCTGTATGGACGCGAGCCTTAGTAGCATATAGTGTCCTGTTATGCTTCCATTGTAATTATTCAAAGCACCCGATGTTAGGATTTCTTGATATTCGTAGCAGCCTTTTCAGGCACTTGTACCATTCTTTACGGTACCCAACTAATGCGTTTCCTAAGATATCCTGATATGGAGATGGTTGATGGAGACGTTCCTTTCACTGAGGTGCTTTAATATTTGGTGAATTTTTTGACATTCACACATTTTAAAAAGATTTGAGGTTGTCTATGGTGGCGGGTCTTTTCGATATTCTTTTAATAGTTGTGATCCAGGTTGCAAAACTTAATCGATCTTGAATAGAATTCATCAAAATAATTTAATATATATCTTTTTCAACATATTTATTCAAATTTATCTGAAAAAAATTCTATTCTTCCCTTAACCAATAACTGATTTTTCTGGTTCCATTTCTGTTTCTCTTCTTCAAAATTTTATTTTGCATCAGTTCAGCTAACTTTTTTGTCAAATTTTATTAATTTCAATTGCGAAAAATTTTTATTTACAGATGGCCATTATACTTTAAAATACTACCAAAAAATACTTTCGCTTTTATAATCCAATTTTCTAAGGTCACAAGTTTTCCAATTTTTTAAGTTTCGATGGAAAATTTCTAATTAAAAAAACAAAAAGATTAAAAAAGCATTGTATGAAAAATATGAAAAATAATTTTCTATTTTGAGCATTTTGAAAATTCTCTCATTAATTCGAGGCAAATCAATATGAATTGACTATATCGAAATTTTATGAAACGTATAGTCGTAATTATTGTTGTAATTGTAATTATAATTGATTATAAATTTTTCGAAAATTATAAATGAGAAAGAAGGAAAAAATCTTGAAAAATCTTAGCAAAATTCATTCGATGTAATTCACTAAATTAGCTGTTAAATGATCAATTAATATTTTATATTTATAATCAATATTTTATATTTATATTTTTTAATTAATATTTTTAAATAATGAAAATATAAATATTGTTTGCAAAAAAATAAATGAATAATAATGAAAAAAAATGGAGAATTTAGAAAGAAAATTTAATTGGCATATGAAACACTGTAGTGTCTTAAAATATCAGTGAATATGATTATTATATTAAAATTTTTCGTATTTTTTTCTTGAAAGAATTTATATAGACAATCGTGAATAATTATGGCGTATTGAGAAATTCCTCTAATGGTTATTAGACCACTTTATCGATATATTTCAAGCTACACGTACTGCTTCCCTCTTTGAAACAGACTTTTATAATGTATAATTTAATATATATATATATATATATATATATATAGACAGACAAGTAGATAAATAGATAATAGATATTATCACTGAAATTATTCCATTATTTGATTCCACTATACATCTTTATGCTGATGATTGTAAAATCTATTGTGATGGCTTATAATAGATCGAGTTATTTACTCCCCCGTTAATGAGCTAAGCTATTAAGTAAGAGATCTTGCTGAATGGTTTCAAAAAATAAAATAATGATTATCGATTCTGTAAGAAAATTTAGCGTACATTTAATTTTAAGAAAGGTTCATCCTCTATTACTTTTTTATTTTATAATAACCATAATACGAGTAATAGTAATATTTTAGATTTTAGTATTGAAATTATGGACGAAAATCTTAAAATTAATTTTCACTAGTGATGAAATTCGACTAAAAAATAATGAATTTTATGTTTCGAAACGAAGGATCTCGCAAAAAAACTTTCTATAAAAAACATCTACCAATTTGAATTAAATCGAATTTTTTTCTGTAAATAAAACAAAATGACTATTCGACTTCATATACGAGTGTAATCAACTAAAATTAATTACTAAAACTAAAAACTAATTTAAAAATTTGGAAAAAAAATTAATAAAAAAATGTTTAAAAATCTCATAAAAAATTTGCGAAAGACTAAATTGTCGTTTTAAAGATCAACGAATTAAATTTAGAGATTTATTTGTTTTTATAAATAAAAAAAAGGTGTGTCAAAAATTGAGAGAAATTTTAAACTTGAAATATGAATTTTATCCAATTTTTTTTATTTAAATGAATATTTATTAACAATTTTTCTTTCGTTCAACAATTCACACTTTGTTGATTAAAAAAAAAATTTTTTTCAAAATATTTTAATGGTTTATTTTTGTCAACAAAAATTACGATTTGTAATCGAATAGTAATAATTTTACACTTTCGTTTAAGAAAAATCAAATTCAGAAATCGTTTTTTTTTTATTTTTAAAATTTGAAATTTTTAAAATTTTTACAACATAAACATTTAAAAATGAGGCGACAAATCTTTAAAATTTGTGAATAGAGAAAAAGAAAATTTAGAAAAATTTTTAATTCAAGCATTGTTTGCCAAAATTTTCTTATCGAAGATAATTTTTAACTAATTACTAATAAAAATAATAAAGAAGAAAGCGCGAAAGCGTAGCATTGTTTTTAGCAGTTATTTTTAGCAATTTTAAAAATTTATAGAAGTCAAACAATAAATTTTCGTTTTATAAGGCTATTCATCTGGCATGATTTATTCCGTCGGATAGATCAGATCAAATTCTTTTTCGGGAACATATTTGGCGATGAAAATCAACTGGCTTTATAAAGCTTATCAACGGCAGAGAATAAAGTCTTAAATGATTCGAAATGGGAATTATAATCCGAAGTAATTAAAATTAGTTCAATTTTATAATTTTTTTTAAAATTTAATAACAATTCTTGTTAAATTCCTATTTCTAAACGTATTTCTAAAAAGTAAAAATACAAAAAAAGTTAAATTTTAAAATTTTATACATGTTTAGTTATTATTTATTAAATAAAATTTCATTTATTAATCAAAATTATATTTTATTAAAAATGATTGCCAAATAAAATTTTTAATTTCATTTTTAGTTTTTCTTATTTCAGCTTTTTTTACTTTTTCATTTTGCATGATTCTTCTCTCAGTAGTTATTTTAATTTTATTTTCCTACCAAATATCTTAATTTTATTGAATTTATTAATTTTATTAAAAAAACATTTTTCATCTTGAATTATATATTTCTTCACTTCTTAGATAATCCAAATTATATTTCGCCAAGTAACTGTTTATGACTCATTGAATAATTCTAATTATATTAGCACATATGATTATTGAACGATGTTATTCCAATCCTATATTCTGGCTCTTAGGTTCTGAAATGCAACTTGAAACTTAAAGTAACCGAGTTGAGCAAAATCCGCTGGGCGCAAACTTATTCAACTTCAGAAATACCCATAATTTAGTTCCTAAATATATTTTTTTTTTTTGAAGAGTTCTCACCATTACTGGTTAAACTCGTTCCACTGGCTTGTCGCATTGAGTAATATGCCAGGGAGGCGATAGAAATACGGGTGAATCAGTATTACTCGGATTTCTATACAACTTTACTCCTGCGGGGAATCGAACTTCAGCATCACCGCTCCCAATTGAGCAAAAACCCACTGAGCCATTCTATTCCCAATTCCGGAATATATATATATATATATTTATATAAATGGATTTCATAAATGTTTCATATATAGAAAATATTAGTTTTTTAATTTAATTAATCGTTTCTTAAAATATTATTTTAATTTGATTAATCGTTTTTTTTGTATTGTACTACATAAAAGAAAAAAATTTATTCAGAAAAAAATTACAAAATAAATTGACAAAACAAATAATAAAATAAATTTTCCAACCATCGTATGAAAGCTTATTTGACTCAATCAATTCACTGAATCTTCCTCTTTGAAAAATCGACGCATTTTAACAAAATTCTGAAAAATTCTGAAAATAAACACAAAATTTTCAAAAAAAAAAACAAGAAAATTATACATAAAAAAAATAAAAGAATTCAATTCACGATAGCAAAGTTCATTTCAGAGGAAAGGAAACGATTGTTCCCTTCATACCATTTCAGCGATGGATTTCAGCCGGTAGTAGTGGCTCTCAAAAATCTAGTTATGCGTATGTTTATCACGCACGTAATTTTTCTTAGAAAAAAAAAATTTGACTTCGTCGATCATCAAGCATAGTTTTAGTCGATTTTTTTATCAAGGATTTTGCTTGAATTTTTTTTCGTTTTAGTTCTTCTGATTTCTTCTTCAATCATTATTCTTGTTTTTCGCTTTGTGTATTCAATAAAAACTTGAAATTTGATAACGAAAGAAATCAAAGAATCATTGTAAATAGAGGAAATAAATATTTTGTAAAATTCTTTTAAAAACTTTTTTCAAAAAACTAATTTCAAAAATTTTATTAAATTTTTTTCACGAAAAAAAATTATATACTTTTGGCGTAGTGGTGAACCTGAATGGTCTACCCGGTGGCAAAATTATTAAATCGCCAAATTCACAAAGGATACGCAACCATTTTCCATTTTCATCCTCAATGTCGTAATAGGCAGATCCTTCGATAATCAATCGAGCTTGTTCACAAGCCAATTCTGTTTCTTCAAAAAGTTCTTCAAGCTGCAATCATTAGGTTGATAATCCATTTAATATGGCAAAATGATATCCAAAATATCATTTAATCAAAATGCTTATTTATTTTCTCTATATTTATTATTTATTCCGAAGACTATTTTATTAATAGCAACAATTCCAAGGGAAAATTGAAAAAAAATATATTTCGCGTGAAAAATGAAATTTTTTTTTCGTTTTTAATTTTCGAGAGAAAAATTTGCATCTTAAAGAAGTACATAAATTTAATACCTTTTCGACGAAATCAACCGTACTCTGCGCATCAAGTGTATAAGTATCCTCTTTTGTTAAATTCCGTTCCATTTTAAGTAATGCAATTCGTTTTGACATACTTATTTGATCCAAAGTATCAATCTAAAAACTTCAACTTCAACTTACTTTTTTTTTTACAGAGAATCAACATTACCAGTTAGACTCGTTAGCTGGATTATTGCAAATATGCCAGAGAATCTCTTGGTGATAGAATCGCAGGTGAATTGTCATCATCCAGGTTTTTCTGCTGGGAATAGAACCTTAGTTCTGATTTTCACCTCTATGCGATAATATCAACCGATGATGCGCCATGGGATTCGAACCCAATCCTTAATTCTCAGTGGTAATAATCGTCCCACTGAACCATTGAATCATCTTACAATTTCCATACTCATCTAAGATTTCATTTATGGAGATTTGATTGTAAGTTTGATCGAGTCTAATCGAATTTGGAAAAATTTTTTAGAAATTTCATTAATATCCATTATTGACGAACAAGGATTAGAAAAGTTCAGTGTGGCCGGTGCTGGTGTTATCGCTTCAATGATTGTATTCTACTTCTGGCAAAAGGCCTTGTTCTTTAAAAATGTGAATAATTTTAGCGACTCATCAATATTTCTATCGCCATGTCACTCGCTAGAAAAAAATTTCTTAGTACGACAAGTCAGTGGAGCGAAACAACGAAAAATTATGAAAGCATTTTCAAGCATAGAATACGTTTATAAATAATCTCTCCTTTTGCTGGTTGGCTTGATTTATAAAAAGAATTATTGAAAATGAATTATTGACAATAAAATGATAACTGACAACAATGGAAGTGGTTAATAGTTGTTCCAGAAAATAATTTTTATTGTTGAAGAATTTTTTTCGCAAAAATATTCATAATTTTCGGGTGAAAAAAAAAAAACTGTTGAAGTTTTTCAATTTCTAAATGTTCTTTGATGACCTTGAAGTGCTTAAATGAACAAATATATGAATATGTAAATATCTTTCTTACAACATTTTTATGAAGATATTTGCATTCAGCGGAAGATTTCAGCAAAATAAATGAAAGGATTTACTTTAAATAATAAGTAATAGTCCGTACCTTAAAATATAAAGCGCCAGTTCTTTTCGTCAGTTCATCTGGTGTGATTTTTTTTGGTGGAAACATATGATGTGGTAATCGAGGATCGCCGCAAGGATATGGCTCCATTAGCCAAATTTGCACCATTGTAAGATTTTCTTTATAATTTGATTGTAAGTTTTTAAACTGAATTAAATTAAATCTAAAAGAAAATATCAGTTATTTATAAATAAATCAAAAGATCATTAATTGATAATTTTTCTAAAAGATATTGGAAATCTCCTTTGTGAAACAATTTTTAAAATTTCTACGCAAGTAAAAATCATATTATTCCGCGCAGTAGTATTCTTTATCATTCAATTAAACTACTTTTACAATACTTTTGCAACAAAAAATTCAGAATGAAACGCTGAAACATGTGTCTTAATTAGCCTTGAACGCCTAAGGCGCAGAGACCTCCTAACCATTGGCGACTTTTAAAGAATTTCTAGTTATTGCAATCAAGTTGAAGGGTTTAGCGAATCGCCAACTTTATGCTTCATAATTTTAGAATGATTGTTATCGTCTTCCTTATAGCACTTATTTAACCCATTTTAACATGAAAGAATTATAAATTTGTAAATAAATTGCTTGCAATAGGCATAGAGAAAAGAAAAAGAAATAAATTCCCACATAAAACTGCATTTTTAGAATTTTGATCATTTATTATTTCGCAAAATTGTTGCAGTATTAATGATTAATAATAAATGAACAAATGGTAAATCAATAAAAGTAGCGAAACCAAGAAATTTTCCAAGAAAAAATTAGCATCAGTAGTATTAAATGATATAAAACAACTAATTGTTATTAGACTCACTCAATTGACCTATACAAGAATGATAGGTAGTTCCTTGGCAATAGACAGAAATGCAGGTAAGCTGCCAGCCATCATCCGAATTTTCAGACAAACTCCTGCAAATGGTAGAACCTCAGCATTGGCGCTTCGAATTGAGCAACAATGCACTGAATGCACTATCCTACTCAAAATAGCATCTGGTTTAATGTCTAATTTTATGAGTCTTTTGATAAAATTAAACATCATGAAAATTGATCGACTCAACTGCATTTTTAGTTCTGGATGAACATTCAACAAATAAATAAATATCACTCTATCTATAAGAAGCTATTTAAATCAGAAAATGGTAAAGCTATGTCGGATAGCAATAAATTCCTAAAATTTGTGCCACAATCACTAATATAATTTTCAACCATTTTAATTGCATCCTATTATAATATATTTTTAAACAATATCTACCGTCAAATTTCGGTAAAATTTAATTCAAAGAAAATTCAATGATGCGAAACCGTTCAGATAAAATTTTAGTGTTTATTATTAAAAATTTCAATAAATATATTCGAAAAAATTATGAATTAATTACTAAAAAGCACTTATTACTAAAACAAAGTAATTATGGAGATGTTTCGGTATTATTTACAAATTTTTTTTTGCAGCATAAGAACATGATCTTGATTTACGATACCATCAATTAATAAAAATCTCGTTTTGGTCTTACTGAAGACCACAATTTTCAAAACATTTTGTAAAAACATATGAAAGAAATTTTCACTTGAAAACAGGAAGTAGTAGATTTCAAAAAGCCTTCAATATTGAGCTAAAATTATTAATAAAAATAAATAGTATTTATCAAGATGCACTGAATATAATCTAATAATCTAATAAAATAGCCACAGAGATAAATTCGCTAAAATTGACCAAAATTTATAAAAATTACTTATGGCTTGCTATTTGAAAAAAAAATTTTCGATTAACTAATAGAAAACGTTTTTCATTAAATTTTATGCCATTCTAACATCATTTATCATAATAATATTAATATTTGGTGAACTATTAATAGCGAAAACCGATATATTGCAAAATAATTGTTTTTGTGGTCAAAAATAAATAATGAATAATTGTGCTAACCACAACACAACGAAACTTCGTAAACGGAAGAAACAAGAGAAAAGTTTATTTAGGAAATAAGATAAGAAGAAATATTTTTGGAACTGGTTTTTTCAGTGATTATCACTAAAGGTATCCAAAATAAATGATTAAAGAAAATATATAGCACTATGTTGGTTCGTTTTAAAACAATTTCTTTAAAACTAAATTTTAAAAAGAAAAAAAAAAACTTTTGAATTTCTTAGCGATATCAATTTATCAACTAGCGATTTTAATTATCTCATTTAAATATTTCGTAAAAATGAATTATCTCATTCATGCGCTTCGTTGAAAGCAAATATAAAAAGTTTCTTATCAGAAATCGAATATTGCTGAAAGTAACTATTTTAATAACTTATGTGTTATAATAAACTATATTCACTATATTTCAAACCAACGGCCATCGAATTCATAATTAAGCAAAAATTTAATTTTATAATAAATATAACTAACAAATAGACTTAATTCGATCTAATATTAGAAATATCAAATTTAGATCAAATTTCTTGCAATATAATTGGATTTTTGCTTTTGTGCGGGATTTGCGGAATGATATTTTCACAAATACTTCGAAATATCTTACGAAATACCTCGAAATCGAAGGTGGTATAGGCAATATTGAAATATTTTACGAAATGTAATTCATTATGAAATTAAAATGAGAACTGCCAACAATAAACGAATACGCAATTACTAGGATTAGGTAGGCTTAAAATAAATTATTGTAATGCTGAAAAATTTTTGCTTCAATACTTACAGCGCTGATTAATCGCTTATCAGTCTTAAGAATTGTCTTGAGCTTTAGCTATAGTTGCAATTCGCCCTGTAGGAATAGCCAACTAATTCAATGAGACATCAGCCCGAAAAAGGATCTCGTTAAGAAGATTCATTCATCGATTATCAGCCACTTTAACGCATATTTTATAAATTTCAGATTTGCAATATTGAGTAAGTATTTGTAATACATTCATTCCATTTGAATATGTTGATTAAAATTCTATGATACGATCGAAGTTCTTTTGCGATTTTTTTTTTAAATTTTGCATAATCATAATTATTTCATGTAGAGCTTAACATACTATTATCAAGCCTACCGGTAAATCGGGACTATATCCGGATTGTTATCAGCCTTATATCTCCATGTAGACACCTGTTAAAATTGTTTCCTTCTATTATGCTTTGGAGAAATATAGATCAAGTCTGATAGAAAATGGTGAATGCCAAGCAGTGAGTTTTCTGCTTGTTTAGATGAATGAATGTCTAAATAAACAGACTGAAGCAGCTAATGGGATGCGTCGATGGTTCAGTAACACGATAATTACCACGGAGAATCGACGATTGGATTCGAAGTCGCTGATGCACCACTTTTCATCGGGCGGCATTGTCGCCTAACGGAGAAAAAGTAAAAGGAAAATAGAATGGCTCAGTGGGTTGTTGCTTATTTCAGAGCACCGACGTAATTTTACGCCTGGTAGGAGTAAACCTGTCAAAGAATCCGCGCGATTTTGTCGATTTAAAGATTTACGAAAACCTGTCAAAAACTTTACTTTATAAATTTGACTCTTCTATTGAGTTTATGTGATTTTAACAGTTATTAAAAATAGAAATTGGTTCAATAAAATCATAAACCGACATTTTTATGCTTTCTAAACCTGTTTAAATTTGATAATTTTCATTCCACCACAATTCTTAATTCGCTGTCATACATTAGAATTTTTTTCATCTTTAGTTTTCAAATCATTTTCAAAAAAAGGCTGTTAATACTGTAAAATTACACTGGAAAAGTGGCTTAGTTTTCGGCAAAAAAATGAACCAGAAATGAGAAAGTTTTAAGAACCATTTTCTTTCCATATGGCACTTTATGGCACTTTTTATTTGAATACATATAATTCATTTAATTCATGTCGATCAAAAAAGTAGACAAGATGAAAGTCAGTGCAATCAAATTTTTAGGAGAATCCAGAATCGAGAAAAATCCAGACTTCCTAATATTCATAAATTCCCAGATTTTGTTCAATAAATCTCTTATTTTGAAATCATCACAAGCATAGCATATTATTAATAAATAAATAAAAAATACATTTGATATCCATAACAATAAGGCAAATATGTTAAGCCCATTATTTATAAATCCGATGGACCAAATCGAAATTTATTATTGCTTTCATATATTTGAAAAAAAAAGCATAACTTAGCAGCATAAGGAGTTTTAAAATCAATATGTATATTAGAAATCCCCAATAATTAAAGGATTGGTCGGAATAAGATGAATTATCCGGATACATCTCAGATAATAGTGAAGATCCATTGATCCAGCTGAAAATAATCTAGATAATAATTCAACAGTTATGATAAATTTACTTATATTTCGTTCGACTATCTTTTCACTTGAAAGCAAAATTTTTTAGTGATCGGTTCAAGTACGAAAAAATAACAGGCCATAATGTGAAACTCCCTCCCATTAACTGCCAGTAAAATACTTGTCATGATCCAGTTTTGAAAGAAGAACCCCAATTTTTTTCCCAGCTTGCATCATACATCACTTCTGTGCCATTTGGTTTGTTGCACCGAATAATTAGAGAATAGAAAGCGTTCTCGATAAACAAAAATTTGAATTAAATGATATATTGAATTTAAAATTTTGAATAACATACACATACAGTGCGAATCGGGGTTATAACTAATGGGTAAGAAAGCAAATTTTAATCGATGAAAGGAAAATTAATAAACTTCTTATGGGTATTATAGTCACCATTTCTGGTTAGTTTTCTCGATAAAATCGAAAGACTCTTAGGAAAAACTACAATCAATAAGAAAAATTAACGCACCGACAAAAATTACTAGCCAATTCTCTTCGTTCTTGCCTCGTACAATTTCCTGCGTCTATTTTCGACACAAATTCATAATTTAAAAATGACAAAATATATCGAAATATACTAATGTAAAATGTTTGATGCCTCCAGTCTTCAATCGAGGAATGAGTCCTGGGAAACCTAAATAAGCAATAGGCAATTATTTGAAATTCTCATCCAGAATATACCAACCAGAGAGACCACCTATCTGTAAGTTAAGTTATTTTATTGCCATGAATTGCCATGAAAGCAAAAATGACTAACATGAAAAAAGCTCCAGAATATACAAGAAGAATGATATTAAATGACGAAACTAGAGAAAATATTTTGTAAGAACTTCGAGTGAATATCATAAGAAAAATGACTTGACATTGACAATATTCATAACAGCACAACAAAGAGATAAATAAATTAAAATAGCTGAAAGAATTCAGCAAATTGCACAACCTAAAATTAAAATTTGGAATATTTTTAAAAATTTCAAATTTTATATAACTTAATGAAATTTAAAAAATCATACTTATAAAAATAATTTATTTGAGAAAATTATCTGGCGATAAAATATTTAGATTCGCTCAATTTTCATCAGAAAATTATAAAAAAAAATTTATTAAATTTATAAAATAAATAAAAAATAAAAATAAATTTAATTAATTCCCGTCTCGGAATGGTGTTGGCGATTTATCTATACTTCTATCATCAAGAATGACTAAATTCTGACAAAATTTGTCCGATTTGTGACAAGTTAGGGAAACGATTCTAATTATTAGTGGAAAGCTCTTATAAACATTCTAAAAAATTTTACTAAAATTGATTCATTTAATAAAAGAATGGTACCACATGATGACAAATGTAGAGGATAAGACTGATAAAAGGTCAAAGGGTAATGAACCGGTAAGAAACGCAAGTGTTGCGAGAGCTCCATTATATGAGCCATAACTTAATCCGTATGAAATTTGTAATTTTAAAAAATAATCTGAAATCGAATAAATCTTATTGAAAATGAAGACTCTTCAAATCAAACCATGAAATGATGCAAGAACTTTTCTATTATTCTGAAATCTTTTCTCAAACTTTAATTTTTTTATTAATTTTAATTTTAATTTAGAATCGATTAAATCAAAGTCACTATTTTCACTAAATGAAATCATATTTGACATTAGTTAAACGTCACATTTCAGACGAAGAAAAACTTTCACCTAATTTACCTATATTATATTTTTATATTTTATTTCTATAAAAGAAAGTTATTTTTTTTTTTAAATAAACAAAGCTAACAGGTTTTTGAGGTGATAAAAATTGATACGATTAAACATAAAATTATAGTATTGAATAATAAAGCTGTTAAACTGCGCGGAAGATACCAACTGCTGTGAGGAAAATGAACACCATAGATTGAGATAATAAATGCACATATCGGTAATAGCAAAGTTCGACAAAACAAATTCTTCCACGAGGAAATTATTGAGGAATAAGTTCGCCTAAAATATTATTCGAATTTTGAAAAATTAACTATTAAAAATTAAATTAAAATTAAAAATTTAAATTAATTCGGGCTAAAAATTAAAGCTCAAAACTAATTTAGAATTCTATTAAATTAAAATTATTTTGAAATATTTTAAAAAATTTCAAAACATTTTTCTTTATAAAAGTTTTTCTAAAAAAAAAAATAACGAACAAACCTAGTCAAAAGAAAAAATTTGCAAAGCGTATTTGGTTGACTCCGAAAAAAATTTGGTCTCGAATTGCAATGAGGCAAAAAAGGTTCAAATAAATCCGGGTGATTTATCATTAAAGCTTCTTGATTCTAAGCAAAGAAAATAAACGTTGAATTTCGCTTGAAATTTTTTAAATATTTTTTATTTTCAGACATAAAATTTATTATATAAATAAATACTTGTAAATCTATATGAAATATAAATACTTATAAATAGTTAGCGAATTAATTTAAAAATTCTTCACGTAAAATTTTAAATATATTTTCCAAATATGTTCATGGACAGTTTCGAAAATCTCTCTCAGAACTTACCATAAATAGATTTACTAATTTTATTGCTTGATCTTGGCTTTCTCGATATCGCTGAGATGTCTCTCGATCGATGGTTGCAAGCGATACTGTAAATTCTTATCAATGTTTAAAAAATGTCGAAGCAGTATAGAGAATAATGGCACATTGGCTCATGTCGAAGTCAATGCTGTGATTCTGTTGCTGGTTTCAATCTGCCTTTCAAAAAATTGATTATAGTGTACCAGCAACAGTGTATTTCTATTGCTAAGTGACTTACTGGCAAAATTTCGACAAAATGAGCCCAATCAGGAATTATTTTGAAAAAAGATAATATGACTAACAATAATAAACGGCCGGATTTTCATTGCTCGGACAAGGGAAACCAATTTGACGAAAATAAGAAAGCATATATTTCGTTTGGCCTGAAAATCGCATGAGTTTATTTAGAATTCCAATAAAAGGTTCAAATCAATCTTCGTTATACGTTCCAATTTCAATTTATAAAGGCATAAATACCTGAATACATAACTTCGCCATAGAAAAGAATCGTAATACGAGACATTAATTGATAAATGTCCGATCTTGGACATCGTAAGGAAATTAATGCTATTCGATGACATCGTTTCATATAGCAATTGAGTGAATATATCAACTGATAATTTGATAATGCGTCTAAATCTTTGGTCGGATCGTCAAACAATAAAATAACTGAAATTATAAGCAATTTTAATAATTCGCATTTCTTCGCAAATTCGCATTTTAAAATATTAATGGTTTTTAAAAAATAGGTTTATTTACTTAAAAAGTAAGAAAGATTTCCTAAAGAATGTGCAAATTAGAAAATTGAAAAAAAAATGTATATATTGGCTAAAATCTCTTGAGAAAAATTTGAAAATGATTAAAATTTTTGAAAATATTTGAAAAATTTTAAATTCTAAACTAATCGACTTACGGGGATCGCTGAGTAAATAAGTGCATATAATAAGCCGCCGTTTTGCACTTTCAGAAAGACTTCCAATTTTTTCATGGCCAAAGGGTAGGAGATCGAAATGTTCCATAAGTGATAAAATCTGAAAGGAAATAAGTAAATCGTGCAAAAATCGATGTCTTCTAGTAGTAATAAAATATGTTAATAATAAAATTTTGCAACATTTCTATTAAAAATCTTTGCCCTGTAGCTGATCAAATGAATTATTAAAATTTTAATCGACACACTAAACGATTTTTATATCAATAATAGAGGAGTGATAATAAGTATTAATGATATCAGTAAGGCAAATGTAGAGGGATTATTGCAAAAAAAAAAAAAAACATAATTACCCTTTCCTCCTTTTCTTTCTCACTGAATTTGCTAATTGACAAATTTGCATAAAAATTTAAGTGAGATTTTAGTGTAAAATATGGAATGAATTCTTCATTAAAACATGTATAAATACCAGTTGCATGAAAAAATTTTCCTGAAAGAAAATGAAAATCGTGAGAAATTCAATTTTTTTTTGAGCGACAGAAATTGAAATATTCCTGTTGTTTTAAAATAAAATTTAAAACTGAAAATTCAACTAAAGATTTCTTAATCTCGATTCAGAGGTGCTAAAGTGCTTTTGCTCTCGTTATGAATAAACCTAAATCTATCTTTCAAAATCCGAGTGGCTTTGCTGAACTATTTGTATTTTTATCAATATCACCATTATTATCACTAAGAATCTCGATCAGATAAACACCAACAGATAAATAGAACTATTTATTAAACAAGAATTGTTGGATGCTATAAGATAAAAGGAAAAAATTTGAGAATATTAAAAAAAATGGAAATATCAAAATTACGATGCAAAGATTGGTCATTTAAAGTGATCTGTCCACTAATATCATCTCCATATTCACCAGCAATTGATCGAAGAAGAATAGTTTTTCCACTCCCTATAATAGGTGTTTATTTATTTTTTGATAATGTAACAAAAATAAATAAATAAAAAATATTTAAACAGTAATTTAGCTGGCTAAGACAAGAAATCAACGCGATTTTTGTTATATTCCTTTTATTATTCAAAATCATGCAAAAATATTATGGAAATCATACTGGTTGAATTGATTCATAAGTTCTTTTCGATTCCTGGCTTCTATCAATTAAAACTAAAAACGAGTGATTGTCACCCGAGTAACTATGAGAGATGCAACTTCATCCTCTATCTTGAAATGATCATCTATCGAAAAGAATCTTAACTATATAGTCAATAAAACCTGCCAAATGGGAAACGTATATGTTTTTCCCTGAAGAGGATAAATAATTAAAAGCATAAAACACGCAAAAAAGGAAGCTCAGAAAAATTATGGCAATGTCAAGCAAGAAAAATTTGCATATAATATCGCCTCAATCTTAATTTAATTAAAAAACAATATTATATGTGCACATAAGTGTACCACTAAACTAATTGAAAAAGCTACTTTTAAGTTTCGGGTACCCTTTTTATCTTCGCCTTGAACCATTAAAGATTATTGTATAGTGTAGCTTCTCCAGCCTCTTCTTAGTTGAGCCTTTGGTGACTTTTGCCCAAATATGATACTTTTGCGTTGTTAATCTTATCAATCTACCATTGCTTTTAAAATTATTGATCTGATAGTTCGAATTCTACTTTTGATTTCAGTTTGATTTGCGATTTCCGTAGTTTTTTGCTCTTGCTTAACAAATTGTTTTTTTTCGAATTTATTCTCCTAATCAGCGAAATAAATTAAATTAAATATAAAGAATTTATATTCAACCTAAAATGTGCCGATGGTTCAGTGGCGAGATAATTGTCACCAAGGATCGAGGATTGGATTCCGATGCACCACACCTCGTTGAGCGACACTGTCGTCTAACGAAGAAAGGCAAAGGTGGAATAGTTTATTGGGTCGCTGAGCCATTCTATTCCCAACAGGAGTAAACCTGTCCAAAATTTCGAATGATGCTGGCACATTTATCAAATGCGATGAGCCAGCAGAGTCTAATCAGCAATGAGGTTGAGTGCTCTTAAAAAAAACAGCTGTCCTCCAATCACGCAGTCAAAAGACCTTTATTAATTGTACCATTCATTTGTCTACAAACAAACCTGCATTTCCTATGATGCAATGTATTTCTCCACTTCGAGCTGCTAATGAAACTTTCTTTAATAGTTGGGCCGTTAATCTTGGATTACAAATACGATTATACCTATAAATGAGAATATAGGAAGAATAGCCACAAAGTTCAAGAGGGTCAACTGAAAGGTCATAAATAAGCTCAATCAATAAATTTTAATTGCAAATTTTATTAAACAATAAAGTTCTCTACGTTTGAACCATTTACGGTTAATGTGATTTCATTCTACTTTCTTCATTGACTCATTCATGCGAAAATAATTTGTTTAAAAAATTAATTAAGTAAAATAATAAATTACCATCTTTCAACGGAAATAGTTTGTATTAGTGAGACATTTTCGCATTTAAGAAGGTGATTCTTCTCTTCAACATCTTTGACAAACGTCATAGTCTTAGCATTTCCAAGATTTCACTGATAAGAATTCGCTGATAAAAATTGCGTAAGGAAATATTATGGCACTGACAATATGTTCTCATCAATTAGACTTTCAGATGTAATAATAATTTTCGAGTTGTTTTAGGCGAATTTTAAATTTAGAATTTTAATAGAATAAAATTGATGAAATGAATATTTTCTTAAAATTAAATCAATCTTCCAATTTTTTCTCACTGGAATTGCTATATGCTAAATATTAATATTTTTAAGTAAATAATACATATATAAGTATAAAAATAATATAAAAATTTAGGAATTTTCGCTTTAGTCATAAGCGATCTATTTTATTCTGTTTTTTATGCTATTCTCCGTTATTATTTTATAGTAAACAATATGCTTCAAATTTAAAAAATAAAAATAGAAAAAAATACAAAAATAAAACAATAAATCCAATTTAATTTCTTCGCTTTTTTTTTTTTTTAACGGAAGCAATCTTGCGATAATTTCAAAATCCAGAGTAACTGCGAAAAACCCATTCGTGCATCTCTGCTCAACTTATTCCGTGGTAGAAATTTATAATTAGCAAATGGCGTCAGCCTATCTCAACGCGCATGGAAGAAAATTGGATGAACATCAGATTGTGTAGACATGATGAGACTTCTTGGACGTCGAACATCAGAGCCCTTATGAACATAATAGGAGTTATGAAATCAAGCATTCAAATTTTAAGCCATATACTATGTGGATATCGCTTTCTTGCCGGAAGTCGACCTTCACAATCGGGATCTAGGAAGGAGTAATAATTATTTTAAAAAAATTATTGGCTTTAGTGCAGTGATCCTCACATAAGCCGGAAGAACTGGAGTCGCCATTGTTAAGTCTAAAAGAACTAGACAGCCTTGCATAGAATCCATCCCATTTGCGCCTGTTTTAAAGGCTAATTCTGCAATATTCGAGTGAAGAGTGAAGATATATTCTCCCATTTTATACGTGGATGATCTGGATAAAGATAGATTCTGTGCAGAACCTAATTATCTAATAGCATTCCTAAAGGCAGTGGCATTATGATTGCGAGAGACATAAATGCGCATCATTGGCCAAGTATGATTTTGGAAACTAAAATTTTGTCTGTGCTGAAGTACATTATGATGATCGGCCTAAAACTGTGGTTGTTCCAGGAACAATTTTAGAGAACTACACGATTTCAAATATTAACCATCAAGCTAGTGCGAGCTATTGTTCCAAAAACTTAAGGCTAATAAAATGCTTAAAAGTTGAATTCTTCAAATGCTATCAACCATCTTTTATTTGCAAAACTTGTTTTCACTAGCAACGATTCACTAGTATGGAATAAGAAAAAGTCTGCAACAAGAGAATCGGTCATTCTATTTCCAAAGAAAAATGATAAAAAGCATTGCGGCAACTGAAGAAAAATCAGCTTGTGACATATCTGGGAAGATTTTGTCTCAATCCTAACTAAACTAAATTTATGGCACCTATATGATGGAACAACTAATCAATCTGGATTGTGAGCATTGTAATGCTGATCATACTGTTTTACACTGGGAAGAATAATGGAACACCGAATATCAGCAGCCTGTCATCAAATATTTCATTGGCCTTATTTTCGATTCTTTCCCTTTAGCAGATCATGGAACATAACAATTCCAGAAAAAATAATCCACAGAAAAAAAGAAGTTTGTGTGTATGTGTCTTATAAGAAATTGATAAAACCTTTCGTTAAATGAACTAGCAAGCATCAAGATTGCATTCTTATCACTAAAATTTTCAACTAGAGGTTTTCAACTATGCTGGTAGACTGGACCATTATGAATACTTCATTTGTCGAGGCTATCAAACTCTACTCTCTTTGTTCTAATGGACCTTTAATTAATCTCTAGGTTTTGATTATTGGATCCTTGAAAAACATTATAGAGTAAATTGATTTGCACCCAATTTTTTCATTTTTCATCTATTTTTTATTTTAGCTCTAATAATGATTTAGAAATTATTATGGCTAAAGTATAATAAATAAAAACTATAACTGCTGCTTCATCAGAAATTATCAATTTTCTACTCGATCCGATAATTTTTGAAATCTAACCAAATCTTTACAGTTTTATCTTATTCTTCTTCTTTCAACAACTCTCTCACCATAATTGCTTAAACTGCCTCCACTGGCCATAAGGGCAAGACGTTTCCAAGTTGAGAGATCTGATGCTATCGCATATAGCAATAGAAACCATCTTTTTCCACCATACCGCTGGTCCCTCTATGCATTCAAAAGAGAAATATTTTATAGATATTTCATTTTCGATTAACGACGAAAGTTAGTTAATTAAAATATCGCTAAAATATAAATGAAAATATATAAACAGGGAAAAAAAAAATTTTAGGAATATCTATTAACGCTATAAACATAACAATTATGAGAAAGTCTAAGACGAATCCTACAAATGGACAATAAATCGAGAAGAAAAACGACCCGAAGAAATGTTGAATAGGTGAATGGGCGATTATAAGAAAGAAGGTGATTAAATAAAGGTGAACGATCGTAAAAAGGATTGAGAATAACAAAAAAAAAGGAAAGAAAAAATAGAGATTCATGAATGTATTGTGGTGATTTTAGTTGCATGTTTCTAAACTTCAAGGACATACGTTTGTCTAATTTGCATGCAAAACATTTCGAAATGTTTTAATCATTACAAAATCTATATTTATATAAATTTACGCAATATTTTATATATATTAGAAATGAACGATAAATTGAGGAGAAAATTTACCATAATAAATTTGTAATTAAAAATAAAAAATAAAGTCAAATAATTATTTTTCAGCTATTTGAACTTTTCATTTTTTTTTTGGAATTTAAAAAAATTAAAAAATTTTTAAAAAATAAAAAAATTTAATCTATAAAAAAAAAATTTTTAACTAAACCCTGTCGTTGTCTTTTGATCTTGTTTTTTTTTAAGAACACTTATTAGTTAGACTCGTTCCACTGGTTTGCCCCACCGGATAAACATGCTAGGGAGACTTTTCGACGATAAAAATATAGGTGAATCGTTAATATCGCCCGGATTTTTGGACAGATTTACTTCTACGAGGAAAAGAACTTCAGCATCGGCGCTGCGAATTGTGCAACAACCGAGTGAACCATTTTACTCTCCCTTTGCTGTGACCTACTCAAACAAAAAACCTAGCACAGCTATGCGCTAATATTATCAGATAAGGCCAACATTAAAAGAAATGAATTAAAATGCAAAATACGAATTTTCTTTTTAACAATTCAATAAATTTCTTATAATTCTACAGCCTAATAAAGCTTTTTCCTGAAACAAATTAATTTATCATAAACCAAATTCTGAGGAATAAATAGAATGTTGTTTCGGCTTAAATTAAACCATTCAATCCTCATTTCTTCAAGAGTCATTGAAGGTAACGTCTTTATGAATCCGGGCTATGATAAGGATATTCCTAACTTCAAGTTTCTAGTGAACTCTAGTGAAAAGATAGCAAGCCAAGTCAAAAATGATAAGTAATAATTACAGTTATAAAAAAGATTTAAGAAGATTAATTAATTTCTTATTTTTTTAAATTATATTTTAGATTTTTGCATAAAATGATAATACAATAATAGGTGTATCACAACAAAAAGTAAAAATAGAGAAAGATTTAATGATGGTTTCAATAAGGATCATCCATTATGCCATAGCAACCAACCACATTGTCGAATCTAAAATGGAAAATTTGCTCGACTTGACCTCAAATCTATAATCATTACCCTCTTTTAATTTCATAAATTATCTCGAATTTGCTTAAAAATTCTTAAAAAAAAAAAAAAAATTAGACAAAATTACTGATTATGAGCGTAATCACTCATTGTAGTTTGTCTTTATTAAATTACGAATTTTCAGGATTTTAAAAAAAAAAATTATTTTTAGAAAATTATAGTAACAGATGTGCAATTAAACAAATACATGTGGAGAGAATTATTATTGGTCTATTAAAGCGCTTGACCGCTAACTCAACTACACCAAAGGGAGAAACTTATATTTCATTAGAGAAGATCAAACAAATAAATAGCAGTGAGGACAATGAATATGGTTAAAGTTACGATACGCTGAGCTCAATTAAAACGATTCAAAAAATGTGGAAGTATTAAGCTAGAAGTAATTATAGCTATAAACAAGGTAAACAGATATAAACAAATACGATCCACAACCATCGCTGCAAAACGCCAATCATTTGCCATCTGGAAGAGATTTAAAGGTTAAAATATTGTAAATAATAGAACCTTAAATCTAAATTTATATAAATATATATATATACTTATATAGAAAAGCCAGTGAATACGAACGGATGGATGGAAAAATTTAACCTAGGTTTGCTCAATATTCCCTTATTGTTCTATGGAACTTCATTATTTCGCAATGTTATATTGCATCGGTCAAAATCCCTCAATACCTTGAAAATCTTCCATTATCCTCCATCAACGCTAAGATTTTTTTATAGGATTAGCCTTTTCAATTTCGTTTGTTTTGTTAGGATAATCAATTGAGTCAAAATTGATAAGAAACGGTATTGATTGATGGATACTAATATTGAAACTTCTCTAACTTGCATATCTTCATACTGTTCTTCGAACTTCTGGATCATTGCGGTAAATTCAAGATTAATTACATTTAGCACTTGACACATTTCGGTTAGAGATTCCTTGAGTATTTTTATTCCACGACCTTAAATATAAAATTTGAAGCTATGAGAGAAAGTAATCCACTCTTAATCACAGTAATAATCCAACTACGAGCAACTGATATCTTTGTTTTCAGGAATGATAATAAGTGTATGATAAATGATAATAAGAATGATAATAAGCTAAATTCATTGATAACATTGATATTATCAAGCATTATAAAAGTGACTATTTAATTTTAGCTAAGTCGATATGAGTTTTCATCGTTATGTTAACAAAAAATATAGTAAAACTTTTCAAATTTATAAAACTTAAAATATAAATTCTTTTCAAAAAGTGTAAATTTAGCATAAAATTAAAAAATTCAAAGTATAAAAAAATAAGAAAATATTTAACAAAAATTTATTTCTAATTTAATTAAAAATTTAAAATTTAAAAAGCTTCAAAAAAACTTGAAAAACTCAAAGTTATCAAAAATTAAGCCTATCAGAAATAATTTAAGAAATAATTAAGAAATAATTTAAGAAAAATTTAAGAAATAATGAGAAAAATTTATGAAAAATATAGAAAAAAAACCTAATACTCCTTTTTCTTGCTCTATTATGTATTTATTCTTTCGCTTACATATTGCATTACAAGGGAATGAAGTGATCGTTAAATTTGCCATACTGTTAACCAGAGATAATTGAAGATTATTATTTTCCTGAAAAATTTCAGATTATAATTATGAAACTAATTTGTTAAATAAATATGCTTTAGGATAATAAGTGAAAAGTAGTAAGTAAATTTTTTATCTAAAATTTATCATTGAATGTCTTTATCGGTAAAAAATAAATCACTAATCTCATCTGGACCAAGAAAAAAAAAAAAACTAGAGAATAATAAAACCAAAGGATTAGTTTTAAAAATCACGATTATATTAGCTCGATTATCTTTATGACACATAAATTTTAGATTATTTAACGAGAGCCTCATTGGAACATTGTAAATTGAGAAATAGTCATCATAGGAGAAGTCATTATTTGCCACTAAATATGAAGCTATGGTGACAATGATGAGATTCCTTCGTACTTCTATTCCCAAATGATTCCTTGGCTAGTTGAACTCTCAGTAATCAATGGAACCAGCTAAACCAGAAATATTTATGAGAAGATGAATAAATAAAATTTTTAGCTATAGAAGAATATAAAATGAAAATTTTTATAACCACTAATTATAAATTAAGGTTCACAATAATAAAAAATTTAGATAATTTCCTCCATAAAAATAACCTTCGAATTCTTTTTTTTCCGTCTATTTTCTGGTCGTTTTAACATTATTAAGAATGGAAAAAGTTCAAGAAACAAATATCGCATCTATAAAAAAAGAATTCAGATGTTTATCGTTTTTCAGTTCTATTTACTTCTATTGATTATTAATTATTATTACTGATCATTTTTGTTGATAAAATACGGTTATCATATCCTCATATCAACGGATCCTCATAAAATAATCTCTTCTTGTTCTTCTCCTTCTAACAGCTCACACCATTACTAATAAGGCTGACTCCAATGGTTACGAGAGTAAAACCTTTCCTCGCGGCCTGATGCTATCGTCGGCAGTAATAGAAGCCATTCCTTTTTCCTTCGTCTAAGTCCATGTAACGCTGGTCCTTCTATGCGTTCAAAATCGCATCAGTCCAGATCATGGTTGGCCCACCTCGCTTCTGACGCCAACCATCACACGGTTTAGCAATAACGAAATATATCTATATATATATATATATATATATATATATATATAATTCCTGTGGTGGACAACGAAGAACATGCCTTAACCAACGAAGGTGACGCTCTGTGATAACATTATTAACGCAAGTGGTATTTGAATAAAGATGGATGCGATCATGTGGTATTTTGTCGCTCGATGAACCCATGTACCTTAGACAATGTACATGAGTGGTGAAAGATAGATGGCTTCTTAATATCCTCCACTCTCATTGGTCATGTCTCAGAGCCATATAGCAAGATCGAAGGAATCACGGTTACATAAATGCGGACTTTCGTTTTAATGGTAATTTCACGACGGTTCCATAAAGGTTTCGTCAACCGGAAAAATGTATTGCCGAATGCTTTCTCGCTACCGGGTTGCAATTTCTTTTTTGCCTGGCCATTCGGTATTAGAGTGGATCCAATGTATTTAAAATCAGGCACTTCCTCAACCCGTAATGAATTTAAAGAGGCTTCCTGTATATAAGACGAAAAGGCTTTCGTTTTATTCACATTGACCCTGAGTCCGATTCTCGCTGCAGCTGCTGACACTTGTTTAGCATTATTTGCATTTCGTCATAACTGTCAGCAAAAAGGACTACATCATCAGCGTTTTCAAGATCTGTAGTACGATGCTTTGGATTGACTTGGATACCTCTTGAGTGCCGACAAGCGATGTCCATTACCCAGTCTATTGCATAGTTGAATATTGTAGGGAAAAGGACATAGGACACCTTAACTAACACCAGTTCTTATATCCAGCCGCCGTCTCCATTCTTAAGGCCATGTCTCCAATAATGATTTCTGTCCCGCCGTGCTACTGTCGTTGTAATTCTTCGACGCAGCTGATAGTCAGGATCTCCTGACATTCGTGCTTTGGCAGCTGAAAATTGGACAATTGTTTCCGGTACGTAACTAGCACACTTCCTACTAATATGTCTTAGCGTGGAAGTGACTTTCGGAGACATTCCTTTAGTTTGGACCAGTATTCAATTGCCGTTCCATAAAAATCATTGATATTTAAATAGCATTCTTCAATAATTCGGTTTGAAATGTGCTCATTGTCCCCAAATTTGTTAGTTTGAGATAGTTGAAGGATCATGGGGGATGCTACTTTTTGCTAGTTGTTAATTTTATACGAATCTTGGCTCAGACCATGACATGGTCAGATCTATGAAGATTGTCTGATTGTTAGCGTAGCGATAGGAACTACTATACTTTTAACGGCGACTGATTGAAATATGATCAATCTGGTTGAAGGGTTGGTTATCCGGAGAATTCCACGTAACTAGATGTTTTCTACGATGCCCAAATCAAGTATTAGTATTAGCAAGTATTAATAACAAGAAGTTCACGCTTCTCGGCATAATGAAGAAGGCGTTCCCCATTGGCGTAACGGCCTCCAATGCCATATTTGCCAATTTTCGAGGTCATCGCAGCGGCATTATGGTCTACGCACACATTCCAGTCTCGCTTATGAACATGTCATTTTTAGGTAGAGACTTTAGCAATTGAAGTTCCGCATAAAATGGTCATCTGCCGACAAAGTTGAAAGTATAGACAGTGATGACCCAGATTTTGCAGTACTTACATTTAAAACAGGCATAGGCCATACATCGCTTACCGGTTTCCATTCAACCAAAACGGAATGGACCTTGCCATTTCCTTATGTTATGGAAACAAGAAGAGAATTTAGAAGAAATCCTATAATCTTTGAATTTTCTCGAACAATCTGAATTTCTTAATTAAAATAATATCAAGTAAAAATTTTAAAAAATTGTTGGAAATATCATCTAACAATTGGTCCCATCGTATGCGTTTCATGTTTTCTATGATATAAATTAACAACAAGCGTCGTGAAGACAACCGAAGCCGAGACAACCATTAAGCAGCAAGAAAAGAAAGCTGCTGAAAAATTATTTTTTAGACAGATAATCTGGTTTTTATCCATTCCAGTAATCTAAACAGTCCAATTCAATTTTGGATTATAGGATAAGCAAATTTTTTTCTGAATCAAATTTATTGTATCTTTAGAGTTCATTCAAATGAGTTTACCAAGAATTGGTATTGCATCGGACGATGTCGGAATCATATTTGAGATCATTTCAAGAAAGAAGATCACTGATAAAAGAATAGTTGTCTCTGAAAAATTAGTGAAAAAAGATATCATTTTTTATTATCAAATTATTTCATTATAAACCATTATTCAGTTTTCAAAATAATTCGACTTGATAAATTACCCAATGTTATCTTTTCGCATGATTCAGGTGGCAAAGTAAATCCTAATACAGTCATAACAGAGATTAAAAGACTTGGTACAATTAAGTTAATTCCATATGCCAGAGTTCTACGTCGTATTCTGATATAAAAATATAGCTCATGATATGGCGATCCATCGAATTCTTTAATAACCCGAATACCCGGAGTATCTGAATCAATAATAAAAATGATTCACCAAATAACAATAAAAATCTCCAAAATTTCTTCCATACACTCATAATGATATCAATGATATCAGATTTTTACGGAAAATTTTTGATTACGTGTGTTCTCAAATTGAAATTCTTATGAAGGCCTTATTTTAATATATAGAAATAAATCATTTGGTCATTTAGGCCTGAAAATTTAAAGCTTAATATATTTTGCCGCTTAAGTGAAAAAGTGTGCTACTTTTTTCAATTATGAATTTTAATTTATATTGGAAAATTAGAAAATAAAAAAAAAAA